TTTATATAACTCAGAAGTTGAGAAAAGATTATTCTATAAACAGTTATACACATATTTTAAAAATGATTTCGATGATTCCAAAACAAAGTTTTCAACTTACCTCAAACAGTAACTGCATATATCAAATATGAGCGATGCCATGAATGATGTATATGTCATATCATGAACGATTTAACCAACAATGCTTACTCTAATGAAGAAGGTCGATAATTTTCATTTTTCCTTTCATACAATAATTTATATAGTATAATTAAGAGTGAATTTCTGTATAATGTTGTCTTCTCACACTGGAGCAAAAATAAAAACTAACTTTATGTAAATCTCTTTTTCCCCTCACAATAATCTTTCCATCAGTAACTAAAACAATACGTATGTTTGCTTTGTCATTCAGTTACACAATTCCTCTTCAGCAGAATTAATATCATAAGTAACACCAACACAAATAACACTCTAATAAACAATGCAATCTTGGAGTAATGATCCACGAATGGGTTAAGGCACACACACAGAATGGGAAGATTCGACATAGACCGATTGCACACTGAATGATTTGAGTTTGGCAAGAGGTACCACACGAAAGGCTTCAAAAAATGGAAACACAGGGTAGGAATCGTAAAGGTGCACGAAAAGGGGGAACAGTACGAGAGGAAGGGGGTTAACCTTAAAAAGTATTAAGAGTCAATGATAAAAACGTCATGTGTGTCTGAACCGGCAGGTTCTGTTTTCGGATTGGACCATCGAAAAAGTAGAACATTGCGTAACACCAGTGACGACAATGGCCTATCATCAATGCCTATTGCTCAACTTCGATAACGTCAGGGGGGGGGGGTCAGAAGAACTTCAAGGGAAAGCAAATCGGCGGGGGAGGGGTTTGTGGGAAATATGTGGTACCACAGGGCAAAGACTCCTACTCCTTGCCAAAGTTCAGCAAAATAGATCGTATCTAGAGTACGGGTTAGCAGAGAAAGAGAAAAAAAACTGCATCAGGGATCCCAGAGTTAGTTCCTCTGGGGTTTCTTTATCCCTCGTGGGGATGGGGTGAAAAAACAGGAGGTCGTTGCCCCAGTGGTTTGGCCATGGCCGGGTTTCTCCGTGGGTACCAGCAAATAACTCTTACCCTGGAGCAAAGATGAACAAAAAATAATTTAGACTTCCTTTTTTAAAAGAGAAGGGGAAAAAATAAAAGGGTAGGTTCAAGTAGTCGCACCCCATTTCGAGGCAAGTCCACCGGAATTTGAGTGCTAGATTTGTTTTAAACTAGGTTTTTGAACTATTTTAAAAGCATCTGGCAGAAAAATTGAGGATATATTTTTTTAGACATGGTGGTAGTAACAAAATAATGTTAAAGGAAAATATATGTGGGCTCCCATATACCAATAATATATATACACACCAATAATATATATATATATATATATATATATATAATGTCGTTATGCTGTAGTATTAAAACAGAAATTTAAATTTTTAATTGGAGTAACTAGATTTAATTATATATATATATATAAATATATATCAATAATATATATAAAGCTTAATAACTAAAATAAATTTAATGGAATATGTAAAAAACTTAAAGGACCTGATATACTAATATATAATGGAATAAAATTATGAAAATTTATTATTATTCTGGTAGTGAAAAAACGAAACCACAATAAGGAACTCAGCAATTTAATAAGCAAATTCAAGCTGATTTACATGATTGAACATAAATATTTGTGTATATTATATATGCATAAGTATACTTCAGAAAATATTAGTGTATGTATATATCATCAAATTTCTTCAAACAGTGAGTACAAAATCTAGTTTTAACTTATTTTTTTACGCAAGACTGTATTAAATTATTGGATTTCTGTTTACTTATTTCAAAGGTAAAAAATGCATTTACTTAATGGTGGTTATATTTACTGTATGCATACAGTAAACAAATTGTAATTTTGTCTTTTTCCATGCCTAGATGAGTATTTATTAAATTTCAAGAACATTCACATTAGTATAGTACGGTTAAATATTAATTTTTAAAAGAATTTTATATTCCTTTCATGCAGAAAAGTTAAACGAGAAAATAAAATTTCACTTTTGGCATCAAAATAATGCAATATTGTTTTTTACCATTCAAATATTATAGTAAGATTTCAAATTTCCAATTTTATTTAAATAAGTGTAAAAAAGTTTTTGAAATAAATTTGTAAAATTTTAAAACTGAAATCTGGCACAGATATAAAATACTTTGTAAGTAAAGTCACATCTAATATATATTAGAGGTGTGACTTATGAAATTAAAAAGTAGAATCTTACTCATTGTCTGAAATTTTCAGAAACATGTCTTACTAATGTCGTCATGCTGTAGTATTAATACAGAATTTTATATTTTTAATTTAAGTAACTAATTTTTCGGGTGAAGTAGTTGATTCTAAATATATTTGATTAAGTTTATATGAAGTGAATGTCTTAAAAGTAAGGGTGAGACATATATCGCCATAAAAGGTTATATTTAATTTGTTCCAATATTTTAGGAAGGGTGGGGGTGTAAGAAAATTCAAAGGCATTAGTAAATTCTAAAAGTATAAGGATATTTACTACACCTCCGATAAAAACTTATAAATCTGAAAAAAACTAGCAAATTTGTTAAATTGATTAGTGCACAAGAAACAATCTACAATTACGCTTTTTAAGTTTAATTTTACAGTATAGAACTAATAATTTTATAATTAAAAAGATAACATTACCCCTTACATTTTTCTATTACAAATCTATTTGAGTGTGCGATAAATGACAATATTTAACTGAGTAATTTCAGTTTTCTTCATAGATAAAATTTTGTTTAAAAATATAAGAAATTTGTTAAATAAATTTCGTGAACTAAAATTTAAATTAATTCATTTTTTTTCATTTTATTTAATATTTTTAATATATTTCCTTACTGTTTTCGCAATTTTCTATATATAGAGAATTTCCTATACAAAATTTCTTTTACTCAATTATGTTGAGGAAAAGAGTTCGTAATGGTGTTTTTCAAACGATTATGAGCGATTTAACCGCAACTGTCTCACAATAAATTCATCGAGGGGAGGCTTCCAGATAAAATAACGGGAGGCAATATTTCATCTTCTATCGCTTATCCTTGGGACAACCAAACGCACAAGTTTACCATCCTTATAATAAAAAATAAATAAAAAAATAGAACAAGACGAGGGAAGGCGGAGTTGTTTACAGCTAAAACTTCGCATCCTCAGTTTTTCCAGATAGGGGAGGAGACCCCCCCCCCGTCTTTTAGCGTGACGGAACCCAGACGTCTTATTAATAATGAACTTCATTACCCTGAAGCATTCATTTACCATACCACGTAGATGGTGTTCGGCGCCTAAATAGAACCCCCACCCCATCATCTTCTACAAAATATATAACCCAAGGGGTGATAAAAAATTCTTTTCTTTTTTCCCCTCTTCCTCAGCTTAAGATCCCCGTCCCCCAGTAGAGAAGATGTTGGATGGAAAAAAAAATCCCGTGGAAGACGCTGAGTAGTGAGATTTTCAGGGGTAACGACCGACCTACTAGTGAACCGAGTGGGTTCTTTTCAAGTAAACAACTGGCTTTGCGGATGCTCTACCAATTTCCTCCTGGGGGTTATGGTGGTAATGGGAAAAAAGAGGGGGGTATATATATATATAAGTTGAAGGGGTTACTAGAGTGAAAATATAGCTATCCCCTTGTGTCAGGAAGTAATGCATATATGAATGAAAGAGTGGTAAAAAAAGTAAACAAAAAATACATATATATTCCCTCAATATCCATCTTAAAGAAAATAACTATCGGTAGAGTTCCCTTTACTATCTGATAATTTCCAAAATAAAAAGCTTAGTAATTATTCTGTGTTTAATTGTAATTAAATCGGGGGAAATTAATGCAGTATTTTATTTTCACTCTTGGAAAAGTTCTGAAAATTTTGAAAAAAAGAACTATCATTTGAAATGTATTATTATCTCCAAGAGAAATAATTATGATATATATTCATATATTTCAATTAAATAGATGCATAATAGACACTCTGAAAGAAAATAAAAGAAAATGTTTAGAATAGACTATAAAATGGTATAACAGTGTACATATCAATACTTGATGCTTTATTTTGAAATTTAATGAAAATAAAGAAAATGCTCAGCAATTCATAGTGAGGAAATATAATAGGTATAAATAGCGGATCTTCAAGCATTCAATAAAACAATTTTTCAATTAAAAATTAAATTTGTTAAATTAATGGCTTTTTTCTACAAATTAAAATTATAAGAATTTATTTATTGGAATGAAAGAAATATTTTCAAAATTAAGTTTATATTTCCAAAATTGAATTGAAGAATTGGGGGTATTATTAAAAGGAGGGGGAAAAACCTTAATTACAGTTATGCAAGATCACTTTGTTTTAATTGTGACGCTAAAAAAAGTAAATATTTTTAAAAAACCCACATTTTACTTAAGCTTTTTCTAAGAGAAAGAGGTTCACTTTTTCTTTAAAAAAGAAAACATTATGCAAGATTAATTTTAAAAACTTAAGCTATTCCCAGAAATCTGAGAACAACGTGAATGCTAATATTTGAAAATAACATCGGGAAATACTCACAATGTTGTTGTTTACTAAAAAAAATTATTTTGCATCTCTTAAGACAATTGGGGAAAATAAAAGGTGTCCCAATTCGTAATGAATACATGAAAACATAAAATTTAATAGTTCCCATTATTTTCGCTTTATCAAATATTAACTTTTTCAATTCCATGTATTTGTTCGCACTCTCCCTATATATAGTTCAAATTTACATTAATTAATAAAATACTTTTTATTCTCAACCATTCAAGTTCTAATACAATTTTTTACACTTGTAGTAGATAACACTTGACTTAATATTTGAAAAACTGTTTTTTAACATCATTAATTAAATTAAAAAATGAACAAATATAATAGTGCAACAACATATATAGAAAGGAAAATCGTTCTTTGTGTCCCTGTAGCGCAATGGGTAGCGCGTTTGATTTCTAATCCAAAGGTTGTGGATTCGAATCCCACCTGGGATGGCCTAATTTCGAGAATGTTATTTCTTTTTACCCTACTATTTTATTAGAATAATTAAATTTAATGAATGAACAAAGAAGCAAAACAAACAAAAAACACAGTGTAACACCATATATAAAAAGGAAAACTGAAAATCGCAAGGAGAAAATCGCTTTCTATTTTGTCACTTAATATTGTTATTCTGTCATATGTATATACATATTTATATATTAATTGCAATTATTTAATAAAAAATAACTAAAATAAAATTTCTTTGTTGATCTATGTAGGAATTGACTTAATTCTATTATGGATTGTAAACTCAAGCCTTAATTTACTGAATTATTCCCGTAACACTTGTTCATTTAAGAGTGAAAATACAGTCGCAAAGAGAGAACCACAATATATAAAATTATCCAACTGCACTCTGAAATACTTTCAACGAATGATAATTTAAAAATTTTTTTTTACAAAACTACTCATCAATAATGAGAAAATTAAGCATGCAGCTAATTAAACAGTGATACTTTAAGTTCATTGTGTTTATGAAATATAATTTTATATCTTTCTCTTAAAATTTTATATTTGAAATGAGAACTTAAAATCTTTTTCCAAGATTCTAAAAGAAGAAAATATATTTAATAGAAATAAAAGACATTTCAGCGAATGGATTTATTTAAATTTAGAATTTATTAACACTGGTAATTCGATCATGAGGAATATTTTGAATTCTGTCGATAAATCTTAACTTTTTACAGCTGATTATTTAAAAGCAACTCTTTAAAAATTGTTATACATCATTTTATTACTTTTGACAAATATGTACTCAATATATGAAGGATTTGTTGATTAGTGCTTCATAATAAATTGTGTATCACAAAAATTAATGCATTTGAATTATAATGATTTAATCAGTACCAATTTAAGCTCATTTTGGGCCCTGGGCGCATAAGATCTACTGGCCCCCTTGGCACTGGATGGTCGAAATTTATAACCAGAAAATCTAGTTAAGTCCAGTTTATCCAAGCCCTTCTAGGCCCCACCGTGCCCCGGGCCCTTTAGCGCCCGCCTTAAGTACCTAATTGATAAAACAGCACTGGTACATTTGTGAATTGGATTTTTTTGTGAATCTAAATTGCATTTAAAAAATCAGCATTATAAACTTGATAACAATACTCCCATTTTGTCTATCACAATTAACTTTGTTTCAACTTAGCCAATAAAACAGTAAGAAAACATTAAAATTTCAATATGTTTTCCAATGAGATTCTATTAAGAAATTAGGAGCTTACGGGAAAAAATTGTATTTGAGAATGGTATTCACAAAAAATGAGATATTATAAAATTGTTTGAAGCCCTGCGACTCTGTTCCTCAAACCCCTTTTCTTACAAGTTTAAGATTGAATGTGACTATTTCGTTTTAAAAACAAAAGATTACGATTAAAAATAGCCATTTAATAATTATATGCTGCAAATCTGAGTCTTATGGATCAGTTCAGCCTGTTGGAAATAAAAGAAATTGATTTGAAGTTTGAGAAAAAGACCCTTTTTTGAATACAACCCTATCCAGTAAAAGTAACTGTCTTTTTGTGAATTACATAGGGTTGCGTAATGGGAAATAGCACAGTTCAAGGTCTTTTTAAAAGAAACCCTCTCCCTGTCCTTCTCACGCGCCATTTCCTCTTTCTTAGACGGAAACCCGACCGTCAGATCCCGTATGCACACTTGTTTCGTAGTCGAAAAAAGAAACCCGTCCCGTCCCAGATGGTTTTAAACCTTCCTTTTTTTTATCCCTTTCTCACCCCCAAATCATTTTTTAACTCCACCACCAGCCCTTCGGGCAACGAACTCGGAACGAAGAACAAAGAAACTCATCGAATAAAAAAAAGGGGGGAAAAGATTCAGCCGATTTTTTCCTTCTATTATTTTTCCCTTGTGTTACGTCCGTCGCTTTGTCATGAAGAGGACGGGAAGCGATTTTTTTTTAGAGATCTCTCCAGTGGCGTTTTTTTTCCCCTCGTTTTACCTCACCCCTCACTCTTTCGTTTCCCCTACCCTCTCGGAAAGACACCTGGTATAAACTATGGGCAGGGGCAAGGACCTCCCAACCTATGATATAAGAGATGCTTCTTTCATGGGGAGGGGAGGGGTAGTCCATTTATTTCCAACATTTTTTTTTATTACAATGCCCACTCTATAGGCTAACGTCCACAACTGGCCAATCATGACCGACATATAACGGGACTCAAGTAACGGTTTTGTGGTTCGGAGTTCTTCGAGGCATAGAATTGATTTGAGAAGCGGCACGTGTGTCGATGGAGTGCTTTGCCGAACAGCAATCAATTATCAGTACACATAATCTTTTGGATGGCACGTAGGGAAATTTTTGGAAGAGTCATCATATATCTTAATGAGTGACAGCACCTTCTGAATTAAGAGAATTTGCTTAAGAATTCGTTAAATAAAGAGATACTTTTTTCTAAAATTAGAATGCGTTGCGATTGTTGTGAAATATCTGAATACAAAGAATGGCAGTGTATATATAAATTTTAGTGTTAAAGTGTATAATTCAGTTAATTCATAGAAATAACTAGGTATTTCATGAATTAACTAGACGAGTCAGTTAAAGTATATAATAGTTGAACATTTTCATACTTCACCTAGTTATTCTAGTAACTAATCAATGCTAGACCGTTAAAAAGTGAAAAATAAACAATTTGAAAGTTATTTTATTAATTGATCATAAACAGCTAAAATCTCTCGAAAAATACATTTTATCCCTGTTGCGGATGATATTACATCAGAAACGCACACAAAAAAATTTTCAAGGGGGAAAAATTTTTCATGGTCGAAAGACCTCCCCCCCCCCAAACTCGTATCATATCTCAAGACTCCACCAATTGATTCTTCTGATTTTGTTAACAAAAAAACAGTAAAAAATAAATTATTAAAGAAATAATTAGCATTAATTAATAAAATAAATTGTTAATTACAAGTACTTAATTAAATTTTACGTTATATATATGTAGGATTATCATCAATCGAAAAACTCAAGGGCTTTGAAGGGAGGGTCCATGGCCCCTAGGACCCCCTTGTGTGCGCCACTGTATAACATTAACTAATGTTAGCAATATGAGTAATAAACAGAAAGGGGGTAAGAATATGTTGCAGAAATAGATTTATATTTAAATATTATGGAAAAAAATATGTGGGAAGAAAAACATCATGTAAACTTTTTCAAACAAAATTGTAAGAAAATATTACTTTAAATTTCATATGAAATACCTTTATTTTACTTTTCATTGCTTATCAGAGCAAGGATTGCTAGGATGACACTTTGATTGGGGTTCAAAATTGACTAAAAGCAGCTAGAACCAGTTCCAAGAACTTTCGAGTGCCGTATTTCATACTTTAACGATCAAGTAATCGTTATTCTATAGAACACCTAGTTAGTAGTAGAATTCAATAATTTTACATACTTTAACTGATTTGTCGAGTTATTTCATGAAATACCTAGTTATTCTATGAAATAACGGATTTCACACTTTAACGATAACAAACAATGCTAGTCAAAACTTTCATATTTTGTCTACATTTATTTCTGAAAAATATTATATTAAATTAGTTCCAAAAGATGAAGCGAAAGAGTTAAGTAGACTTTAGTTTTCCAGTATTGTGAATGTATAGATAAAAAAAAGGGGGAAACTCAAAATATATAATTTTTAAAAATACACTAATTTTAGAATAGTATTAAATTCAAAAATTTCTATTTTCAATTAAATTTTTAAAATCAATAAAAACTTTATTTTAAAATACGAATTGTAAAAAAAATACTGACATATTTAAAATATTACAGTAAAATGTACCTTTTTCTATCTATTGATAATATCCAGCATAAAATGTAAAAATTTGTTTTTTTTATCGCTCTATATAAAATTTACATAGATAAGATAACTATGTTCGGAAATGTAACTTTCAAAAAGCGCATAAATGAATATTTTTTTGGTAAATATAGTGTCAGTTGAATAAGAATATACATATAAAATTGTTTTAAGAATAGTATTACAAAAAAAATATTTAAATTTTTGGAAAAAATGAAGTTAGAATAACATATTTTCAAAACATTCTCCTTTTATAAAAAAAACGCTTCTGAAATAATATTTTGCCTGTATATAGCTAAGATTTCTATACAGAGCCTGAAATAAGATTTTTTTTTAAAAACATTTTTTAGATTTACGATCAATTGAAATAATTAACCGATGTTTTTTGTTGAAATTTATCTAATACTAGCTTCATGGCCCGGCGTTACATGGGCTTTTTCAAGTGTATAAATATATTATTGCCTTAAAAATTTCCCCTTCCCATCTCGGTGCAAGTCCACTCCTAAATTATATATTTCAAAAATTCTATTTCAGGTTCTGCATAGAAGTTTTAGCTAAATAGAGGCAAAATATTATTATAGAAGTATTTCATAAAAGAATGTTTTAAAAATTTGTCATTCTTCCTTTTTTTGCCAAAACAATTGCATTTAAATCATTTTATTGCAATTTTGTATTTATATGTGTATTCTAAATTAAGTGGTAATAAATATTAAAAAAATTACTCATTGGCACCTTTTTTTCAAAATCAGGGTTCTGAATGTCGTAATCACTGAACGGTATCTTAAATAATTTTTTAAACCTATTTTTTTTATACTCTTGTGTTTCCCCGAAATATTTTCAGAAGTATTTTTTTCTAAAAACTTGGTTTTCTAAACTATAAGTATAATTTTGGAAGAAAAAAAAAATACAACCAGTAATACAGTAAAATATTGTCAATAATTAAAACACTGTCATCAAATTAATTTTTTGTAGACATTCAAAATTGCTAGAAACAAGCAATAATATTAAAAAAAAATTGTTTCGAAAGTCAATTCCTATACTTAGGTCAACACAGAAAAGTTCTGTTACTTTTTATTAAATAGTTACAATTTAATATATATAAACAATCGCAATACTTAAGTGACGAAATAGAAAGCGATTTT